AACGCCTTCGTTACAAACAATATGTCCTAAAAACTCGGTTTCCAACTTCAAAAACTCTGATTTGTCCATCTGAATTTTGAAGTTCGATTCCCGTAGCCTTTTAAAGACCTTTTCTAAGTTCAAACTGTGCTCCTGAAGGAAGGTACTGAATACAATGATATCATCAAGATACACACGACATAGTTTGTATTGAAGATCTTTAAGAACATTGTCCATCACGCGTTGGAATGTTGATGGACAATTTTTGAGAGATGTCATGGCATTCTTAAAAATTCATAGTGCCCGTTCTCTACATTAAAAGCGGTCTTGTGTCGTATCGTTTGGATCCATTTCAACCTGATTAATAAAATCCACTAGCTAAATCGAGTGTTGTAAAATATTGACATTTATCAAGTTTGTCAAGCAGATCTGTAATATTCGGAATGGGGTACTTATCGTCAATCGTTTTCTCGTTGACTTTCCTGAAATCCGCGACAAGACGCCATTTAACCTTACCTGAAGCATCTGCCTTTTTGGGTACAATCCAAATTGGAGAGCTCCACGCTGAGTCTGACGGTCTTATTATGTTCTGATCAACATCTTATTAATTTGATCCCTGACTTCTTGTCGAGGGACATAAGGATATCTGTATGTTTTCATATGTACTGGAATTTCGTCGGTTGTTCGTATTTTATGTTTTACCTTGTTAGTGAATGTTAGAGGTTCTCCCTCAAGATAAAACACATCGGCATAATTTGCACGAATACGTTCCAATTAATACGTTGTTCCGGGTTTAAATGCTCCGTACGGAGGTGAGAAATCACTTCTTTAGCGCGGTCTGTCAAAATTTCAGTAGGTACGTTCGGATTCGATGTTAAAAAGCTCAGCTTCTACAGGCCTATTCACAGAAAACATGATATCATGAGATAAAAGGTTAGTAATTTCGACCCAACCGCGATTATTTACAACCTGTGTTAGACAATCTGCGATGAGGCAATTGTAGATGGTTTGATTATCCACTAGTACTATACCGTTCTGCGTTTTTACTGGAAGTTTTACTAATTTGGATGAGTTACCCGAGATAATTTTTTCATACAGAATCGCGTTACGTGAGTTATGACTCACGTAACGCGATTCTGTATGAAAAAATAAATACCCATACAGATGTATGCATCTGTATGGCTATTTTCGCATTGTGGGTCACTACCAATTTGTTCTTAAAGTCCATATTGAAACCCCACGCGTCTAGTAAGTCAAATCCTAATAACCCATCAAAGTAATTGTGGAATTTGTACACGAACAACATTATATCATTCTGTTCACCGAATTCTGGAAAGTTGGGTAAGGTAATGGAATAGTCGTTTTTACTGGTGGCGTGTATGTTAGTCACTTCAAAAGGATCGTAGTTTAATGGAATATGGTTAAAATATTTTTCGATAGCTTCTGGGCTAATAAAAGACTGATTAGCGCATGTATCAATGGGAAGTTTGAAAGGTGCGTTAGTAGTTTGGACATAACCTAGCTGTCTATGGACATGAAAGTTGACTTCTATTTTGGCCTTTCTGACCTCGACTCCTTTTGAAAACTTTTATTAGGAGTGGAGTTTTGGTCTATCTCCACTACTGTCACTAAATCGGAACAGGGAAGCTGCTCCTCATAATAGCCATGAGGTGGATATTCACAAGGGTAGTAGTTTGTGTCATAGTCTGGGTAACCATAGTCATAGTCGTAATGATTATCGTCATTATAGTCGTAGTCAAATTCATTGAAGTTAACTTCTCGTGTTTTAAAGTAATTGGATGGCGGCGGATTTCTAAACCTACACCAGTCATGTGGGACTGGGGGAAGAGGTTTCGGTGCAAAATTACTAACACCACTCATTGGACGGGGGCGATTACCAAAATTAAATGATTAATAATAACTCTTTATTGCACAAAGAAAAGATACATGAAACATAAGTTATAAAGGACATATACAAAGGTGAGCTTATCTCTAGAAGAGATGATTGCTGTATGATTATCACTAGTATCAGGCTTCTTACCACGGTATATGATACTAGTGATAATCATTTAGTGAATAGCCACGAAAGTCTTAAAAACCTATATAGATGATTGCTGTGGCTGAGGCTGAGGATTGTACAGCATTCTAAATAAATTACTTTGCGGGTAAAATTCTGAGGAGGAGCGCGCATTATTTGTTGAGTACGTGTGAGACCATATTGTGACATTTGAGATGGGAAGTTAGGTCTCCAACTTTGAAATGGTACATACTGCATTGGTGGTTGTCGCGATGGACCAGGCATGTTAAAAATGGGTTGTTTCGTTGGCACGCCGAAAGTTATGAGTTTAGGTACAAAGCTATTAAGGGCTAAATTAATATTATGTAGAGAAGGTGATTGCCCACAACCCTTCTTACTTGTACTACCGTCGTAGCGCTGCTGCATATACAAAGTATTAAACTCTTCTTGGACAAACTCTAGAGCTTTTTCCATGGATGCAGGTCGCATGCAACGTATCCGGGATCCTAGAAGATCTTTAAGGCCTCGCAGCAAATAAACTTGTAACGTGAGTTTTTGGTAAAGTTGGCGCTTCGCTTCTATTGTAGTTCTAGTGTAGTGTAGTGTAGTGTAGTGTAGTGGGGTTTCATGTAACGAACGAAACATGAGTCATAATCGTGCTAAATAAATTCTGTCATCGCTCATAAAATTCCTGCGGGGTGCTGGACCCTTGAGTTTGCAGCGAAACGTCGTTGTACAAAGCGGTTTCATCTCTATGGTCCGCAAAGTTATTTATTAGAGCATCCCTAATACCTTGCCAATTTTCAGGTACGCCATTTAAATTAATCAATCTAGCTGCGGGTCCCGTCCCTTTATTTAAAATTCCGTTAATAAGGGCTAAGTTTGCTAACTCGTGCCCTGTGCTTGTGTCAAGGTGCGCTATGACTAGTTGGTCAAATAAATTTATGAAACGGGTTATAATATGCGGGTTCCCGTCGAATTCGGGCACTACTCTGAGCGATTTATAGATCGCCTCTATATCAGAGTTAGCCATGGTTTCGTCTAAATTACGTCTCTTGTCAATTAAACTAAGCTTCTTATTAATAGATCTACTATTACTCCATACTTTAATATTCTCCGATTTTCGTGGATGAAAAAACCTTGGACTATTTCTAAATCTGTATAAAGCACAAGTTCGATCGTTTATGGAGTACCGCTGCCACTTTTGGGACAGCTCTGCCGATTACTAGTTAGCTGCCTTGGACCCGGTGGAGCGAAAACCAAAGAGACTATTAACATCAATTCTCTTGTGGAGTCGATGCTACAAAATTTCAACCATCAGAAAAGTAGCCTGCTTATCAGTTTTCTATCGGATACATTTCGGAGAGTGTGCGCAAGAACTTTTCAATTTAGTTCCACCCTCACCGTACCTCCTTCGGTCGACTAGAAGATCCGGAGCACTCCATTCAAATGTCGTTGATATTCCACCTATTCGCAATAAGTTTCCCGAAAAGTACAATTTGGGGCTATTCAAAGCTAGAGTGAATACGCATTTTTTAGGCAAACGCGGCCCATCGTCGGTCACGTCGTCGCTTAACATCAGGTGAGATTGTGGCCAAGCGTGTATCTATTGTATATTAAAAAAATTATAAAATAGGATTAGAATAAGACAGAAAGGACTTCGAAAGATTCAGAGTATTTACAACATTTCTCTTGCCGAATCAATTTCTGGATTCCTTGTGCTCTACAACTCCCGTAGATTCTGAATTTGTCGAAACCCGTAATAGATTTACTGACGTTATTCCCGACGAATCCTACCGACTGCGCCAATTAAGTTTGTTGCGAGACGAAGTTGCAAAAAAAATCAATTTATTGTACTAATTTATTTAAAAGAAATTACTATATAAAATGTAGACGATAAGTAATCGAATTTGGATTACGAATGCCGCGATATTCGATGCTCCGGGCCGCCGTCTCCACCTTTGACGTCAATGCGGTCACGTTGTCTTCAAAGTACACGGCTGTAGGGCTAGCACGACAGGGCGCGACTAGCGCGAGAGCGACATAAAGCGCGCGATACTGCTAGTCTCGCATAGAGATTTTGTGCGTTATGTCGCTCGCGTGCAAGTCACGCTTGCACGCGCATTCATGCTAGCCCTACTGACGCTGCACCCCGTGCAGTGAGCTAGAGCCTCGTGCAATGCAGTATTGTTTTCCGGTCGCCGCTTATTCGGCGATTGCCCTACGTTCGCCTTGCGTAACAAGTGTTGCACTGCCAAATATTTACGTGATATTTTATTTTTGATGTTTTCAGTCTTCTAATTAAATTTAACTATATATTGCATTCGCATTCGAATGAATAATTTAATCATAAAAGAATGGGGGAAACATGAACATGATTGCGATTAACATTCAAATTTACTTAGTAAGTCAAATAATTTATATAAAATATTGTTTCCAACAAATGAACAAAAACTCTGTCTAAAATTGGCTTTCTAAAAAACTCTGTCTAATTCCAGCTTACAACAGTATTCAACAAAACAGTTCATGTGTGACAATATAAGTGCATACAACGATTTTCGTAGAACTCGCTGAACGTTTTGTCAAAAATATTTTAAAACAAGCACACAGTAACTCTTAGCGCTCGATCCGGCAAATTAAGCGTGTTTGCAGGACGCGGCCTGCGCCGCCCGACTCCCTTCAAGTATCCCGTAGCTGTGCGCGAGTACATTCGTTGCGCAACTGTAGGGTTTATTAAACTGTGCTATTACTATATCTAATATATAGAATACAAACCTGATTGCAAGAAAATATCATGGATACAAAACAGACTAGTGGGATAAACCAGCTGAACTCGTATATCAAGGGTCACAATCTCAATTTGATGCATTATTAAACGCGCTCTGTGCTATCGTACCAGGGTGGGCAGAAAAATATGAGTATGAAGTGACAATATGAGTTCATTCATTCCCTATCGCGTATATGTGCTGTAAAGATAAGAAAGAGAATAGTAAAAATAACTTACGTGAGCATCATGAGGCAACAAGTTCATGAACTCTTGAGTAACGTTCCATTTTAGCAAAGTGTACCAATAAGTCCCTTGAAAGCTATCTCCGGCGTTCAACAGCAAGGCATTTGGTTTCTCTTTCAAAAGTGTACTTATTTCTTTGTAGAGGCGCGGGAATCCACCGAGACATGAGCCGTTGTTGAATCGACAAGTTGGATAATGGACAGCTGTTTCTTGGAATCTACAATAGATACAATAAAAAAATGTACCAATCACACCAATACCTGGACTCCAAGTAAAATTACAAAAAGTACCTAATAAATACATTAAATACAATAGAAACAAATACCAAATATTGCATTATTAGTAGCAGTAGAGCTCCTTGTGAAAGAATTCCTCCAGAGAAAGACTGCTACCTTACCTATTTCTGCCGCCAAGCAGTAATGTCAGATTACTGTGTTCCGGTTTTGAAAGGTAAGGTGCTGGTGAAATTACAGGCACTTGGAACTTGTCAACTTATGTCTCTGAATGACGGGCGCAGTAGCAGTGCCCCTCAGATATTTGCGATTTAAAGCTCTGTGTGGCACGGCAACTATTATGGACAGGCGTGTAGCTTACCACCAAACGCACGACTTATCCATCCCGTCACTTGATACTATAAAAAAAAATACAAAGTACCTAAAATGGAAAACCTATCTAGTCGTCTATAATCTCTAAATCAATTACTAATTGTTATTTGTTTCTTTTGATGTCTTTTTATTGATCCGGCCTTTAATTAGTTTATAGCTTTTTGATTGTAGATAATGTGTATTTTATGTAGAATAAATGTCAATTGGGGAATTTTCTGTAGCAATACGAATTCCAGAATAACGATAACTTCGAGAGCACTCCTACAAGCATCTTAGAGTGCTGCTTCTCTAAGAAGGTTGGCAACCATCATGGCTATCCTTATTTTTGAAAAAAGAAGGAACGTGTGCTAAAATTGAAGACTGGCTCTTAGGTTTTTCAACCAGGAAATTTTCCTTTTTTTTTATGATATCAAGGACGAGATGAACAAATCGTGCGCCTGGTGGTAATCGAGACGCCTACCCATGACAGTTGCAGTGTCACTGAGTTTAAGTAGCAAAGATCTGAGGGGCACTGCCACTGTGTCCGTCAACCTCAGACATAAGTTCACAAGTCCCATGTTCCTGTAATTTCACCAGTATCCCATACCCTGCAAAACTGGAACGCAGTAATGCGAGCATTACTGCTTGACAGCAGAAACAGGTAAGGTAGTAGTACTTGTCTGGAGGAACTCTTTCACAAGGAGCTCTACTTCTACTAAAACTGCTGCCTTCTGCCACGACTACGTTTTCATTGGATTTTCCCCAGTATTAATAGTTGAAGAATCTGGCATCTATTCGGGGGAATACTCACAACTATAAAAGAAAGAAGGTCATTACGTGGTCAAAATACTGCAGCTTCCTTTCCTTCCTTCCTTTATATTTGTGAGTATTTACAGCTTTTGCCCATTCGACGTAGAACCTCAACAACAATATGATTAGCGTACATTTTCTATACAGGGTTATTTACATAATAATAGGGGTTAAAGTAGGAAATTGCCGATTTGTACTGAAAATCTAAATTGTTTATTTTTTAAATTTTTAACAAATTTATTTAATCAAAATAGTTGCCATTATTATCTATACATTGCTGCCATCTAATGGGAAGGTTATTAATGCCTTTGCGATAGAACTCCGACGATCTAGACTGCACAAACTGTGTGAAAGCATTTTGTACTGCCTCCTGGGAAGAAAACTTCTTGTCACGTAGATAATTGTCCAAATCACGAAAAAAATGGTAGTCCGTTGGAGCAAGGTCTGGTGAATACGGAGGATGACGAATGGTTTCTAACTGCAATTCCTGAAGGGTCAAAATGGTTTCTCGTGCTGTGTGAGGTCTCGCGTTGGCGTGGAGCAATAATGGTGAAGATCGATTCATGAGTCGGGGCTGTTTTACTGCTAGTTTTGTCAACATGGTTCGGAGTTGGGCACAATAGACATCTGCCGTTATTGCTTGACCAGATCGGAGAAAACTATAGTGAATAACACCATGCTGAGACCACCAAACAGTTACCATTACCTTTTTATTGGTAAGTTTTGCTTTAGGACACTGTTGTGGCATTTGACCTGGGGTCAGCCATTGCATTTTTCTTTTCCGGTTATCATAAAGAATCCACTTTTCATCACATGTTACAATTCGATCCAATATTCCTTCATTTCTGTACCGGTTCAACAAGGCAACACAAGTTTCAACACGCGTTTCTTTCTGCAGATCAGTCAAATCATGAGGCACCCATTTTTCGTATTTTTTTATTTTATTGATTTGACGCAAGTGAGTCAATATTGTGGGTAAGGTAACGTTAAACCATGCCGCTAATTCCTGGGTAGTTTGACTAGGATCGGCTTCCACTATCTCTCTTAATTCATCGTTATTCATCTGTGTGGGCGGTCTTCCTCGTGGCTCGTTCTTTAAGTCGAAATTTCCATCACGAAAGCGTTTAAACCAAAATCGCACGGTGCGTTCATTAGTAGACCCCTCTCCAAACGCAGCATTGATTTTGCGGGCTGTTTCTGCCGCGTTAGTTCCGCGTCGGAACTCGTATTCAAAAATCACTCGAATTTTCGCAGTATCCATCTTTCTTGTCTAAATTGAATAACAAAAACAATTGAAAGTCGATATTCAAATGTTTCAAATTTAAAAAAAAATCACAGAAACCATTTGAAAAAAGTTTCATTCGAAAACCTCAAACCATGAACATTCTATGAAAATTCAAAGAACCTATTGCAATAAAACGGCAATTTCATACTTTAACCCCTAATATTAACAACCTCACTGGACTGTATTCGCTGTATTATACACAAGATCATAAACAACGACTATTGTTCTATGACTTTTTCATAATTCATCAGATTTTACTTTCGTACATAAATAAAAATATTTAGTTAATTAATTTATTGAAAATCACGATGTTTCACCATGGTTTTCAATTATTTTTTTGTGAAATTACTCCACCAGTTTGTTATAATTATCAATACAAAGATCGAACACTTGGAAATTCCTTCGATCCGGCTGGATTCTAACCAACGTCTTCTAGCAAACCGTGCCTAACGCTATGCCAACTAAGCCACGAAACGAACCAGCGAATTAAAAAAACTTGATGTTAGAAATATGTAACAAAAAATAAATAAAAGCGAATAAATTTTGACCAACTTTACGTTACTAATTCAGCAGTGCAAATCCTTTCTTTACTAATTAGACATGGCCTGCAAATGCATTTTTGTGTAAGCAACAGCTCACATTTTGTTTACATTTAAGTAAACATTTTTATCACTATATTAAAATACTACATACCTACTCATTGAATGAGTGGTTTATTCTGTCCTTTCAAAAAACTGATTCATAGCAACATATCCAGCGTTTGTTGGCATTAATGTGATAATTATCATTAAGTAGTGATGTTGGAAATAATAAAGTATAATCAGCAACTACTAGAAGAAAAAATGTTTTCAACAAATACGGTTGATATTGATATATCAGACTACACAACAACAAATAGTGCCTGTAAATATTAGCCGAATAGAACAACAACTATGAACAGTGAAAACACCTTGAGTGCGCCAGAAAGTGAAAATTGTAATGTTTTATACGTAATGGAAATTACTTATAAAAATGTTAAATCAGTTTATATAATCTATATGGTCATGAAATACGAAGGAGTGATCCATGAATTGTTCGTAAATTGGAGTTACGTCAGTGTACGCACTAAAATTATCAGTAAACGTGAAGGAGTGAAAACTCCTTGAGTTCCACATAACTGAAAATTATAGGTTATATCAGTTATGCGATCAACATGACCATAAAATGCGAAGGAGCGCAAACTCCCCAGTTCCTCTTAGACAGGAGTTATGTTTGTATATGAAAATTGACAATGTTTGATCTCCAATTGTCTCATGGTCTAATCCTATACATATCGATAACTATGTACTATGGCGGCCTATCTCAAAAGCTAGTGATATGTCAGGTCACGTAGTATGTCTGCTACACAAAGTTAACGATACCACCCCAATGTTGTCATTGATCTCTTATTATACCCAACGAAAACTTTGGGAGTCTAATTCACAACAAAATTTTGCCTTATCTGTATAAATGTCAGAAAAAAAAGACCAATTACAGGTTGAACCGCTATTCTTGAGAAGCAGCGATATGCAGGTAAGCATACCTGTTCGTTTTGTTTCCATTTTAAGTGAATCTCCTTCTGTCCATAGTAAAGCAGTTCAGTACTAAATATTAATTTCATGCAAAATGAAAAAAGTGACAATGAACCTTAAAGCATATCGATGAACTATGTGACGAATTCCAAGTAACACAAAGGTGTCTCAGCGCACAGCTCGTAGAAAAGTCAATCGTGGTTCATGAGAACTGGTTGATCAAATCGTATGGCTCACATGAAGATATCTTCAAGTATTTTAATTCACATAATCATTTCATATTGGTGTGAATTGACGTGTAATAATATACCCAAATAAGAACTGGTAATTACTTTACAAGTATCAATAATCGCTAAAGTGTAAATTATTGACGTATATTTAGAAGTGATTAGTAGATATTTCACATTGAAAAAAAAAAGTTGAGTGTATGGTGTGGGATTTATTAATCCAAACAGAAAACATTGCTCTTATGTATCCCAAGGAATAGTTACAGGTATTATTTAAGTGCTAAGGTGGTCTGGTGGAATTTTGTAATATTTCAAACACAATAAACAACATTCATTTGGCTCGAAGTAGAATAACTGGAGTAGTCTAAATAAATACGTTTACCACAAGTAACTTTCACTTACTATCTACGTATAATTTCAGGCAAGCTGGTCTAGTGCTTGATCATTAAATTAACATTATAATAAAGGGTAATAATAATTAATTCGTTTTATGGCTACGCAACCTTACTTAAACAAATGGCCACGCAAATTGAAAATATATAATATAAAAATCTTAGAGGACCATGCAACCTTGTTGAAACAAATGGCCACGCAAATGATTTAACAAAAGGTGACGCACAAAGCAGTAACAATAAGCCGTATTCTAAGCAGCTGATTACTGTTACTTAGTGCTTACTAGTAAAAGGCCACTCACAATAATACATCACAAGGCTACGCATTACTGTTACTGTTATATAATTATGTAAAAAGCCACGCACAAT